AAAAATATAACTTTGGTATGGATCTTAGTTCTGACACACCCTGTACATTTAAAAATAATTTTAAATTATGCACATTGCCTTTCTACATATACCCATAAAAATTTTGTTTCTACATCTTTCCATTTTCGTATAATCAACCGAGGCAAATGAGGTGCGCCACCCTGTATATAGAGTATTCCATTACAAAAAAAACAACGTTGATGCGTAACTTTTTTTGGGAACCCCTTATATTTTTATAAAATACTTCCAATTAACCTACATATGCTCCCAAAATTTCATTTCGATATGACCTCCCGTTCTCCTTGGAGCCTTCGCGTCGTATGAGAGGCGCCACTCTGAACGAACCTACCGTGAATGTGAGTTTATCGAAAGGTGAAAGTGAGTCGTCCGTCGTTCAGTGATTCCAAACATATTTAAGTATGAGCTGTCATTTTTGGAATATACCTACCAATGAAATTGCATAAAATCATCGACGGACGACGCATTATGGATGCTTTTAAACCCACACTTATGATTCAACGCGTGACGTCATCACTTTATGGGACATTACAGACAGAGATATTTCATTTGCTTTTATAAATATTTGATAACAAAAAAAAAGTAATCGTAAAAAAATATAATTTCGGGTATTAGTCCCCGGACAACGTCGCGTTATAGTCTTCCAATGGCTCAGAGAAGATTTCGACAGATGACATTCAAAAGATGACAGAAATACAATTTGCCCATGAATTAAAATGACAGACACAAAATGTCACTCTCGGGGATCCTCCCGTTGGACAGATTCTAAATCTTCGTGAAAAATGCCACCACTAACTTTGTTGATGCTTGAAAGAAAGTGTTCAATCAACTTTTTTAAGAAATTCCCCAAAATATTTGGCAATAAATGCCCCTTCTAGTAAAAATAAAGATTTCTTATAAAGAAAAAATTTAGGAGATTTATTAATTATATTGTTTTTTCAAATATAAAGAGGCCACGACTAAAAATTTATGATTTTACTTTTTAATAACTAATTGTTAATTAAGGAACTTGCCTGAAATACGAAAATATATAAGCCCGATTAACCTTTTAGTTTAATGTGGAATGATGAAATAAAAAATAAAGGAAAATAAATATGTTAAAAAACAGTTACAAATGAATATAGAGGTCATGTTTGTCGTAGAATACTGCTAACTGAAGTTTGTGGAAAACTTAATCTAAAGTATAGGTGATGCAATTATCAACACAACAACGGAGCTTTTGACAAAAACACATATGTTTAATTTGAGAATAAGGAGATTTTTTGTAAACATTCTCAAAACAACATATGAATTCGCCACGAAATTAAAATACATTAAAATCCGCAACCAACCGTCCAATCAGATGAAAGGAGCAATCGTCGTAGATCGTGCGGTATCGCTGAAGCTCGGTCCCGGAAAAACGGCGCGAGAATTGATATTACAACCATAATTGACACTTGCAATTTTGGGCTTTTTGCATCTATCTGCAGCATTTTATATAGTTGTATTTGAGAATTATTTATTTTTTCTGACTTTTTAGTTGTGAATAAATATAATAATTACTAAAATCAGCAGTTCTTATTGCTATTTAGAGTGTTTACCAATCATTGGTGTTTACGTGTTTACTATCAGCAAATTGGTGCTTTGTGGTTTTAACATTTAATAATTTTCAACATTTTAACATTTAATAATCTGATATAATCCTCTTTAGTTCTTTATCAGAGAAGAACAACCGTATCTCTGGTTTTATATTAAAACAATATAATCCAAGAAGTTAAAAATTATATATTATATTATCAATTAGCATGGATTTGCACGATAATAGGTAAGTATACTCTATAAATTTATTTCTATTTGCTATAAAATTGTTTATTAGGTTTTCAATTTACGATATTTGTGGTAAAACATTTTCATGCTCGTCGTCTCTGAATCGGCATATGAAGAATATCCACGGAAAAGTAGTCAGTCTGAAGATAAACCAACGCATCGTTTGTCCTTTGTGTTCAAATGAAAAGATTTGCTTTTCTTGTCATGAGGGATTATTGGATCATTTAAAAAGTATCCACAATGTAAGTATTAAAGAGAGTGTCTTAAATTTTAGGAACCTTCAAAAATTCGATGCTTGGAAATGTTTAGAAAATAGAGAATTTGATTAAGCTTGTCATCGAAAAATAAAAAAGGCCAATGGAGATGAATATGTATATTATAATTGTAATAGAAGCGATTCTAAGGGTAAAATACAATATAATTAGTGACTTTTTTTTTTGATAAGTAGTTGTTTTAGGTTTTGAGAGTAAATCAGTTGAACAGAACCCATAGTCTGGAGGAAGTATTCGCATACAAGGAATATGCCCAGCAAGGATAATAGTCCAAATCTGTGTTAATGGTACGCAATTATTCAAGATTTATTCAGTTCAACATTTTAAGTGACTGAAATATGAAATAGTTTAAAATATTGGTATTTCCACGTAAGACAATATTATTTTTTTAAGGATGATTAGGGTCCGATACATGTTGGGCATAACATGAGTTGAGGAGTAGACGAATGACCAAATCAGTCACTGTCTATTCGTATTGAGTTTTGTAGTTTTCTATGACCTAGTGTGACAGCAAGAGCCTTGATAATGTAACTAATATTTTCCAAAACATGGCCTGCTAACTAACACCTCTTCAGTTTTGAATGTAACAAATGGGGCATGTTTTGGAATGTGTTAAACTACAATTTTTGATATGAGGATAGTACTTAAATTATTATTATTACTCTTTTATTAAAGTTCAGAACAGCATAATTGGATTCTTTGGAATGTAGAATGTTTAGGAGGGGAGTTAATCACCGCGACCTTATAGATCTATTGTGTGTTCCCCTTTCTTGAGTTATAACGAGTTATAACTCATCATACAGTCTCAGGGCTTTAACAAAAGCCAGTATCTGAGACGGCTCTACAGAGGCCAGCTCTCCATCCTCGACATCAGACGTACCAAGGTTCATGGCACGAATGGTCGTCGTCTCGGCGCACTCCGTGATAAGGTGTTCTGGTGTTTCCCCATTTTCCCCACAAAATCTGCATTCGCCGTTATTTCTCAGTTTCAGCCTACTGAGGTGTTTGTTGAGGAGACAGTGTCCTGTTAGAAACCCCGTGACAATCCGAAGATTGTTTTTACTTAAATCAAGGAAAACATTTGATTTTTCTCGGTCATAAGTTGTGAGGAACTTTTTCGAGTGTCTTAGACCGTTGGAGGACACCTATTCCAAGTTACGGATGGAGTCTTCCAGATTCTTCAGTTCCGCTTTCAGTTGGTATTCTTTGGAATAGTGATCGGGGTTTTCTCTGCCGTGCTCTTTCCCTGGTGAATTCTAGGTTGAGTACGGCACTCTTTTCATTTATTTAATAAAATCGGTAGGGATGTTTACAAATTTAGCGTTTGATTTACACAACCTATTCTCCTCAAATTTCTCTAATTTTGCTTGGGCATGTAGTTTTCCATATTTGTTTTTTATGTAGGTATTTACAATTCCAAATTTCAGGTGAGGGTTTTTTAACACAAATTATTTTTTTACACTGTTATAGTGACGTGACATTGCTTTTTTGCTTGAATGTATATATTTTAAATATAATGCATAGGTATAACTGCCTTTAAAAAACTCCATATTAAACTGTTAAAAGTGTAATTTACTTCAAACAAATATATAATATATATTAATATCAAAAAATAGTTTTTATTTGCCTAGCACCAATTTAATCATCACATACATATAAACATATATTTTCGTTATTTAAAATGATCTAAAAATTCAACAGGAATGACCTATTATGCAGCAGACACATAAAATAAATTATCGATAGATTTTTGTAGGCATTTCACAAATAAAGTCAAATGTCTGATCAAAAACTGAAAATGCAAAACAAATAGTAAGCTTTAAGATACAATTAGTCATACCTACGTCTATTTAGGTCCTAAAATCCAACAAATAATTTAATATCTAAAGTAAATAATTAAAATTTTTGTACCAACAGTAATGTTTCCAAGGGTTCATATAAATCTTTATTTGATAATCCAGGATTAAAAAAAATACGATTGTAATTCTTGTTATTTTTCTAAATACGTAATTACAAAATGTAAAACAGAAAAATATCTGAAAATATGATGTAAAAACAACAGAAAAACAAAAACAAATTGACTACCCTAACCAAAGATTTAACCGTCATACGTCAAACGCATCACGTGACTGCGCAATGCCCTACGATAGGGTACGATACCTCTTGAATCTGATTGGACGGTTGGTTGCGGATTTTAATGTATCCTCACAAAGTTGTCTAGTGGTCTGTCTTATATAATGGTACAAAGAAAACAAGGTATGATCGATAGCGGCCCCAATTTCGTTAAGTTTGCGCATACCACCTGTGACGTCATACGCCATATAAAAAAATATCCATATTGTGCAATTGCCACTAATAAAAAAAGACCTAAAATAGGGAAGAATTAGGACATAACCCTAAAAGTTATGTCAAATCATTGTGCTTGACATTTGAAAAATTATTTGAAATTGGCGCGTGGAACTTGCCGACCAATGGTGCCGTTTATCACCTGTGACGTAGTGACCAACCTGCGCAATATCATACCTTGTATTCTTTGTATCATGGTCTTATATCCTACAGGAGATTACAAGACAGTCATTATTTTCTACCACTTCAATTCAAAAGGAGATTGTATTTTCTGATATTTTTGAATGTTGTTTGACGAAATCACTTTTTCTTGCTGTACATAACTTAGAGAGTACTTCACATAAATGGAATATAATTACCTACCTTTAAATTCTACCAAAAATGATCAATATTTTGTTTTGTAACACTATGTGGAAATATGTTTAGTGGCCAGTGGAGGAATACATGACAAAATTCAAATGTTGATTATTTATTTATTATTTTTGGATGTCAAAATTATGATGTATTCTCCCAGTGGACATATATTACATACAATAAAACTAAAAAGCACTCTTTTACCTGGAATGTTTCAAGCTATAATTTCCTTTTTTAGCGGCTTCATAATAAACATTTTTCGCTTCCGGTGTTAGGTTTTTCCACATATTTCCCAATTTAACATATATTTCTTTCTTACTTTTTTCTAAAAATTAAATTAAACATTAATTATGGTTATGCAATAATCCAATATAATATTCAATATATATATATATATATATATATATATATATATATATATATATATATATATATATATATATATATATATATATATATATATATATATATATATATATATATATATATATATATATATATATATATATATATATATATATATATATATATATATATATATATATATATATATATATATATATATATATATATATATATATATATATATATATATATATATATATATATATATCTATAATATCTAATAAATTAATTAGGCTGTACTTAAACTGCCGTTAAACGGTAGCTTACTAAAATGCCGTTAATAGTTTTAACATTTGCAATAAGCAATTACACGTCTCGTTATATTTCGTACGACTTGAAACGAAACCCATGAGCAACAGAAATGTCAATGTTACTCGGGAACTAATGTGAACTAATATCAACCTAGTTCCAGGAACTATTCCTCTGGAGGAACTTAAACTAGGGAACCCCACATTTATTCTTATGCTTATCCCCTTGAAACCTTCTAACGATTGGTAGGACTTTATTTTATTTGCCTTATTTGTTCAGCTTCTCAATAATTAGTTAAATTATACACTCAGATGCAAAAAAACGCAACGGGGAAATTTTTGGTCAAAATTAAAGTGTTACATTTTTTTTATTTTTAGCTCTATTTTCATGAATTTCTTAACAAACTGTGTATAATTATATCAACTTTAATACGTAAAACTAAGTTTTTTATAAACTTTAGTATTTGGCATATTATACAGGGTTAATTGAAGGGTTGCTTTTTTACTCTAACTTTAAAATACTCTGTGCAATAATTTCGTGTGTAAATTTTCCTAAAATATAATTTTACGGTCAGAACAATGACTCCTGAGTTTTTTGTTTTTTGATTCATATCAATACACATTTTGGTTAATTTTTAAGAGCGAAATGTAATCACGATAAATTTGTAATTTTTTCCATTTATCATTATTTTTTTATGTCATTTTTTAATATGACGAGATGGTTTTGGTGAGTATTGTCGTAATGTCATATTACGCTGCATTGGATACTTTATACTAAATTAAAAAAAAACGTTAAAGACTAACGATACAGTCCTGGTTTTAATAAACATTAATAACGATAACAGAGCTAACGATATTAAAAAAAGCATCTGTAATATTCCAGTATACAAACAGAAAAAAAAATTAAAAATTACCCTAATAATTTGCATTGCTTCTTTTGGCTGCTATAACTGCCTGTACACATCCGTTCATACTTTCATTGAGGCTACATATATCATATTCCGTTATGCTTTCCCATTCTTATTTAGGAACCAAGCAGAGTTAATTTAATGAAGCTAGTACCGCTTCGCAACCTCTAACCCTCCTGCCAAGCATATCCCAAACGTCGAACATGATGGGCAGTTCATAGTAGTATTTAGTACACAATAATCACCAAAGCCGGCTTATCATATTGAAAAATAACTTCAAAAAGAAGTGATAATTGAGAAAATTGCAAATTGCTGGTGACAAGTTTATTTCGCTCTTAAAAATTAACCAAGGCATATATTGACATAATCCAAAAAAAATGCTCAGGAGACATGGTTGTAACCGTAAAATTATAATTCAGGAAAATTTACACACTTGACGGCTTTATGAAATATAGGAATTTTATAAGGACTAACCAACGCTATCCACCCCACCAAATATATCCAACTTAACCAACGCAACTAACCTCGACACTGATAAAAAATATAAAAAACAAATATAAATTAGTAAAAATCAACCAACCCCACCAAATAACCAACTAACCAATGAATTAACACCCACCAAATAATCACGCTAACCAATCCGCCAAATAACTAAACCAATGCAATAAGATCACGTTATAAGCAAAAAAAATATAAAAAAGTCTTGAACCACGGACCATTCGCTTACGAAGCGATAGCCTCAGCCACGAGCCACAGGTGCTCTTGCAAAGTGCTTAAGGCTAGGCATTACTTTCCGCCGACATGAACGACGTCACAATATCTATTAACGGCATTTTAGTAGGCTATCGTTTAACGGCTGTTTAAGTACATCGAATTAATTATGCTACATTTACCGGGTGCGCCTCAAAGTGGCTCGACCCTATAACTTTTGTATTTTTTTCAGATAAAAAATGAAATTTGGTATGTTAGTATATGACAGAAATTAGGATTGATTGAGGTATCAATTGTTTTTGGTCGCTTCCTGTTTCACCAGATAATAATACAACTTCTGATTTTCAAATGGCACCCTCGGTATATTTTTACTTTATGCTATAGAAAATGACACTCTTAGTAGAATTACATATCATATGTCAACTTTTGACATTTTCACTTAAAGAATCGTATTTTAAAATTTCAATCTAGAGTGCCATGGCTGTGTGCAAACACTAATTCTTAATCAAGGAGTCTTGGAAAAATAGATTTGATCGTCTAAAGTGTAATGTCTTTTTTTATGTCTTGTCCTGGCCATTTAATTAATAACAAAGTCGTATTTTTAATCATATCTGGAAATAGCATTTTTTTACGAATAATTTGGTACCACACACTTGGTACCGTATGATCGAATAAAAACGGCGTCAGCGATGGCTATGAAATGAAGATCGCTGTCATTTTATATGTAAATTTATATAGGAAATGCCATCGATCGTCATTTCCAAGCCAACTGGACGCCATTTTTATTCGATCATATGGTATTTTGAGTCAAATTATCGTTATGAACCACATGTTACAATTTCAAAAAAACATATGGGAAAATGTCAAAAGCTGACATATGATATGTCATTCTATTCAGTGTCATTTTCTATCAAATAAAGTAGAAATATGCCATAATATAGGGTGCCATTTAAAAATCAAAAGTTGTAGTCATTTCCGGTGAAACAGGAAGTGACAAAAAATTGAATACGTCAATTAATCCTAATTTATGTCATATACTAACATACCAAATCTCTTTTTTTTATCTGAAAGATTAAAAGTTATAGGGGTGAGCCACTTTTTAGACGCACCCGGCACTCATTCCCTAGTAAAATAACATATGATATTATACACTTTGCCTGATGAACGTGTTTGTGCAAATAGAGATTCAATTGTATATTGTGATTTTAGTTCTTCCTGTATTCCTGTATAATCAATTAACTATATAATCTGTATTATGCAAGCGATATTTTGAATAAAAAGATTAAGGAAAAGAATATCAAAAATCTCGATATCGATAAAATAAAACACTAGTTCACCACAATACGCCCAAACACTTCACTTTTTACTCTGGACGCGCGTGATTGAGACTAGTTTTAATCATCTGCTGATAATGTTAACATGGTTAGGCTGGTCTTACACGATGCGTCCAACGTTGGTTCTAACGCTGCAACCAACATTTGGCACAGTTTTCGACAATACTGCAATTGTGTGCAAGTGTGTTACACACATGTCAATACGTAACATCCTACACGATGGGATGAACGTGTATTCCAATATTGGACGTAAAGTTGGCATTACATTTGCGAATTTAAATCAATGTCGTAGGTACTCTTGACTTGACTCTTGACGGAAAAAATCGATAATATAATAAATGCTAGGATTGCCACTGAAGTTTCTCTTACGCAAATTCCTTGTAACAGAAACAAAAAAAAGAAACATTTTGTTCTATTTCTTAATTTGCAGATATATTCTATTTCTTAATTTGCAGATATTTATAACAGGGTTCTGTAATTACTTCAATCATTTTTTTCTGATTTGGTAGTTACCTACTTATTAATAATACAACCTTTTGGTTCCCACACATAGAGGTTGCTTATGGTTTAATTTGTTCATATTTTAATATTAAAAAATTGATTTTTTCGGGTAAGAAACTAATCTTCATATCTGGGCTATCAGCATTTCTTTTTTCAAAAAAAAACTAAATATGGATGCAGAGTACCCCCTTATCTTATCACAGAAACAGTATTAAGACGAACGTCCATTCTCGTCAAAAATTAAATATTAAAACAAAAAAAAAATCGAAATAATATGGTTTGGAAATTATGATATAGATGTTTGGTATTACAGCGAAATGCTTTGAAGAGTTATATATTTTAAAGTTGCAATGAATGAGTTGTTTTTAAGTGTTGATGGCTCTAATTGGTTTTATTGATTCTGAGTGGTTGTACTTCCTAAGTGACTTTTGTGGGAGTATGCTTTTATTTTAAAGAACACAAGTTTAATTAAATTAAAATAAAAAAATAATTCTTCTACATATATAAATTAAAATAAATATTAAATTTCTTAAAATTAAACTAAATTAAATATTAATTTTCTACAATAAATAAATTTGAAATATAAATTAAAATTCAACATATAATAATTAAAAAAAAATAAACAAAATTCTTAACTGGTTCTTAACTAAAATAACTAAAAAAAAAATTCTATCCTACAAAATTGAATATCAGCATATATAGATTGAAGTAATTTACTCTCAACTTACATTACTAATACAAAAAATATATAAAAAAAGGCATATCACTAAAAATAAATTTAACTATTGCTTAAGTATTTTTCTTTGAATTGTGCACTGAGGTATGATTTGATTATTACCTTGTTTTTTCTTTCAATTTATCTAATTATGGTGGATTATACCGCTTCCCTCACCTTATGATTTTAGTCTAGTTGTTTATTAATTTTTCAAATTTAACATACCATATTGTTATCTGTGATTGGACAAATTTTGTGATATATATAATTTTTTGACTTTGTATAAAAAAAAATTTGACTTTTTAACTTGTATGTGATTGTATTTTAAATTTGACCTCTGTAATTTCATTTTAGCTTTGGGCCTGAAGATGGGAATATTTTAAATTCCCGAAACATGTCGCCCCCCTTGCTTTTTTAAGCATTAAATTTTTTTAAATTAAACAACTTAAAGATTGTGAGTTATTGTCCTTTTACCCTCCTTCAAAGTTTTGCTTTGAAAAAAA